ACATCATTTCGTGATTCTTTCGCTTTCGCTTTTAATGGGAAGCGTCTTCAGGGCCTATAATTTATTGAATTGCGGTTTTTTTGCAAATAAGTAAAAAACAATGAATTGAACATATAAATTGACGAAAGAAAGTTAAACATTAATGGATTTTTTGTCAAACCAAAAAACCTGATACATCGAATAACACAAACAATTCTTCCAAATATGGTGAAGGTATCAACCTAATTAAAAAGTATGTTGTTTGCTGAAGTTGAAATTTTGGTATGATCGAAAATGAAACCATTGCAACGTTTTCTAAAACAACTTTTAATAATCAAGAATAAACTTATCTATAATAAAAATTATGTAATATAAGGAACTAATTGGACGTAAGCAACCATCAGAACCCAGCCTTTTCTAACCTATCCAATTGCTGTCCAAGCTTCTCTTCTTTCGTCTTCCTCGTCTGAGATAAAGTTTTAATTTTTATAAAATCCGTTACGAATTTATCCACATCTATTTCCCCACTCAGAAAAGATTCTGCCACTTTCTCACTGTCTACATCTGCTTTCTCAGCAGCTAGTCTTAGTTGATCCTGAAAATAGATATAATAAAATCTGATGTAACAAATCTGACTACTTTCCAAGAACCTATGAATAATATTTCAGTAAGTATTTCATCAGGTCAGACTTTACCAACTCAATTCTGAATCCTTGAAATACATTTCATAAATTATTGTTTCTTCAATAAGTGTTATCCAAAATTAAGAATATAAGTATTTATAAACGTTTCACTAACCTTTATGTTCCTAGGTGTGTATTTATCAGATAAAGTCTGATAAATAACATGCAGTCTTTCATTTTCAAATGCTAACTTTGTAACTTCTTCTATTCTAGAATCAATATCTCTTTGGAGTTCCTCCAATTTTTCTTTCTTGGATAAATTGATTTCTGGAAAATATTTCAACCATAAGTAAAACTAATAATAAGCATGAAGTGTTTTTCCACAACACCGGACAATTTCTTCGTATTGCTTCTCGCAAACGGCTCATAACTTCAAGATAATACTCCTTATTGACCGTACGACCATGTGACAAGAACTCCTGATACACTACGCCAAGGTAATCAAAGAAAACTAAACAAAACCTTGACATTTGGTCGAACTGTTGGTTGAAGGAGTTCGATTTTCAATTATGGGAAATCATCGACTTTATGTTAATGATAGACACTACGTTGCACTGATGAATGGGCAAACAGCCCGAAACCAGTTTGCAAATCTGTTCCAATAATTGAAAATCGTTTCCGGCAGTTGTATTGCCAACAACATATGGAGGAATGGAGAATCCTGCACTGACACCTGTCAGATATAATCCAACACCCTTCGTGGTATTAGCCAGGGGAGTAGTTGTTTTCTGATGGGTGTCAGTCCATTAACCTACAGTGTAGATAAATTGAGACTGTCCTGAATGAATTGTTCTGTTAGATAATTTTATTTACAGCCAGTCTCAAGCTTGTTTATTCAAAAAAACACTCATTTCAATGGATGTTGATTACCTGCCATTTCTTCCACCTGTGAAATCACATCATCTAAAACTCTATTTTGTTCTTTAATTATAGGGACTTCTTCAATAAATTCCTCTTGTCTATCACTATTATCGTTTAGAAATTTAAGTTCCTCCAGCGGCAGTCCTATCAGTTCTGAAACTGCAATATTTGGAAGGAAGTTCCCAGCCTGAGGCATGTGTGATGGTGGTGAAAAGCTCTTTACTGAGAATTGGTAAGTGGATGGAGTTGGGCGAACTTCCCCATCTAGAACATTTAAAAATTTAAATTGAAAAGGAAATATTTTTATTTTTTAACGTGTACAGAAAGGTTACAGGTTTGTTTTGTTCTCTCATGCATTGAGGATGGTTATTTCACTCTTCTGATGTGTAGATGATTTCTGTGAATTATAACATCTAGAAAAACTACATACTTATGGGAATTGCGGCCGATGTATTGTTGCAGACGTTATTAGTTACCAGGGGAGGTGGTGTCCGTTGATATTCCCGAATTACTGCTTGTACCACCCTTCCCAAATCAGAATGAACTGTAAACTAAATGAAAATATTACATTTCAAGTCGAAATGAATCTATAATATTTACATTGAGCAGTCCAGGTGCCGATTTTATATCTCCCTCTTCAGATACCCACTGATGGATAACCCGAGGAACTATTTTCAATAACGGTTTTTCCTTCGGGAATTCCTTAGTCAAAATTATTTTCAAGCAGAGGTTATTTCCTCCAGAATTGAAATAAATTTCATATTCCTCGCCTTCGATAATTTCGGTCACACTAAAAATAGTTATCCTGTAATTTCAATAAAAATATTGTGGTAACTTTACTTGTCATTGAATATTTTCAAAGTATTTATTTGATGTTTTCGAATGTCTGCATCAGATTTATACAACCTAGGAAGCATTACACAATCTCCGTCATTTATTATTAGATCTACACAAATAACATAATTGAGAATTTTATTTCTAATACTCTTTATTATTATTTGTAAAAGGTGAAGTTTACCCTGACATCCGGGAATGACAAGTGACACAGTCCAGTAGTTCGAAGTACTCAGCTGTTCTTAGCGTGTTCAAAAATTTTATATCACGTCATTACAAAAATGCAAATTTGATAGATGGCACATCGCTTTGAGATGTCAAAAAAACGTCCTGGCGACGTACTTTTGTTATATTCATTCCGTGGAGATATCAGATTGTAATGTCACAGAATTGTTACACTTTCATGTCAAAGAAATATCGAGAGAACATATCTGTAATATTGTTATATTATGCTAATCAAGACATCACATCAACCTTATTCAGACTAATTTTTTTTAGAATAACATTTTATTTGTTTAACTCAAAAAGTTAATGCAATGTCGTCAAAGACATCTGCAGTCTTCTCAGGAGAATGCCTTAGCGATAACGCTGAGATATCTATGGCAAAGTTTTGTTAACTGAACTCGTAGTATAATTTTCAAGAACGCTGTCTTATAACACGTATTTCGCCAACCAAGTTAGCATCATCAGGAGATTGAGATTACTGAGTTGAAGATTATGCTAATTTGTTTAGCGAAATGCACGTCAAGAGACAATATTTTTGTCCTAGTGTGGCAAAAGTGTCTTCAATAGATTATAAAAACTCAATTGAAAGTTGTTCAGTTGAAAGTTTCAGGATTCACCTGTCAGTGGAATGTTGACAGCTGTCATAAATGTCATAGTTTATTGAAATAGGTTATGTTTTGGTGTTATATAGGAATGAAATGGCGTCAACACAAAGGGCGTTTACACAAAAACTATCCAAGTAATTACCAAAATAAATATGAATTAGTAAACTATTACTATATTATTATATTTTAGACAACACGCAGCCGATGTTCGTCGAAACGTGTCCTGCTCAAGCAGTGGACTTCTTTCACCATCTTCATCAGTATTCTTTACATTTTTAACTGAATTCTCGTGATTCATAACATTCATTTTCAGAGTTGGATGAATGAAGTAATTGAGCCATTAGAATTCGAAGATTTTTTACATGGTTATCAAAATTTAATTGACAGAGATCCACTTCGTGCCATCTTGGATATTCCTCCAGGAGACGTTGAAATCGATATTATAGAAAGACCCTTGAGAACTGTCGAACCTATCGTTCCCGAAGAAAACTTGTAACTAAAATTAAAATGCTCATGCTAACAAGTTAACTCGTGTTCTGTTTTTCAGGGAGAGTTTAACTCCTCATGTACAGGCATGTGTGGAATGTTACAAGGCGTTTTGGAAAGTTATTCGTTATAACCACCGTTCACTAAGTAGTAGCGTGTCGAGTAGATCTAATCTTTCTAAAGAACTGCTTCCTACCCCTAGGCAGGAGTTTGAAATAGATTTTCAACCAGGTCCTTCACAGTCTAGTAGTGAATTAGGTAAGATTCACCTAGTATTATTGTTAGGAAAGATCTAGGTCAATAGAGTCTTTTCACAGAATTTGCTTGTTTTTGAAAATTTTTTAATTTAAATATTGTATTTTAGTCTGCTATCTGTGTTATGGACATCTTTTCAGCTGCTTTGGAGCTAATGATTATTTTGTATGAAGGAATAGATAAATTGTACTGTATTCTTCTTCTCATTGTATTATAACAGATTTAACATCACAAAGCAGTGGCCGACAAAGTGTCATATCAATAGCTTCAGTGTCATCATGTGGAGACACTCTCACTCCAAGAAACTCTTGGGCTTCGTTGGACCTGAGGCATTCAGCAGGAGATCCATTGATTCCAGATATTTTGGAACAATCCATTCCAGAAGCTCTCGATCAACTCAATGAGAGTAGAAGGCAGACCGAGAGGCAGGATATTTTGTTCGCCCTTACACCAACAGATATCCATTTTGAGGTTAACGAACAAGTAGAGAAGAGGTTACCAGCTATTGCCCCTTATGAGCATATGGGGCATAGAATTTTGGTGAAGTGCCAACAGTTGACGTAAGTAATTATGGATTTTGAACTCTAATTACTTTTATTTCATATAATTTTTTTAATTGGTATAAACAGGAAAGAACCCTTTCGATACAGAAATAGTGTAAGACAATTATCCTAATAACATGTGAAAATAAATCATTTGAAAAGAAAACTTACACCTTGAAGAACAAGAAAATCATAATTACGGATCTTTTAAATGCCTCAATAGAGTTTGTAAAAAAAATTTAGTGTTGACTATTGAATCCATAGTTTTTTGAATGTGCCTGTTCAAGATGGTTTTATGGTCCCTAAAATTAATAATGTTAAGAAGTTGTGGATAATAATAGTGACCTGCTAACAATTCGAATAGAAACTGTAAATCTGTTTGGATTCATCTATTTTTCAAAGTTGTCGAATGGAGGATTGAGCTGATGTCATTTTAGTTGTAGTGTCCCACTTGGAAACCCATTTTGTAAGCAGCAGTCCTCAATAATTTATTCTGAATTGTTTCTAATAATATGTTATAGACCAATAGCATGGTAACATTTCCAAGATAGAATAACTAAAATGTCTTTCAATTTAGAAAAATTCCATTCACTCTGAGGGGTGGCTCTTTGTAGATATGAAAGCTATTCTATTCAAAATCTTCCATATTTCAGAATGGACATAGAAGTAGAACCACTCTTCGCTTCCATGGCACTTTACGATTGCAAAGAGCGCAAGAAAGTATCGGAAACTTTCCATTTCGATTTGAATCCGGAAGGTCTCAAAAGGATGCTGGGGGGACACGTTCCTTATGCCGATACAAGCTCTCTTGCAAGAGGATGCGTTTTCAATATTTCCCATCCTTCCCCCGATCTGTTTATAGTGATCCGTTTAGAGAAAGTATTACAAGGTGACCTCAGTGAATGTGTTGAACCATATCTGAAGGAGGATAAGGTATTGCTAGTTATTAATTTGAAATTAAACTAAAATTAGAGTTGAATAAGAGTGGACCGGTGATTAGTTCGATGATGAAGATAATTTTAACGCAAGTTGCTTGTAATATTGATTTATTTTTTATTTTAGAACCGAGACAAACTCAAATCTATTGCGGTGTCAGTTTGCGAACGTTTAGGGAAATACAGACAAGCGTTTGCTTGGACTGCCATCAATCTGGTCAATATAATAAATGGTGGAAATTCACTTGAAAGAGATTCTGATAGAGACTCGATGAGTGGAGGCTCTAACACTAATAGTTTGGGTGAGTATTTCAATAACATTTTTCTATGTCTGTATTCAAAGATTCTACTGATAATGTGAAATCTCAAATCAGAGAACAGGTATTCTCCAATTTCTGAGCTATACAGGGTGTAACTAAATAAGTGTAAAACATTTAAGGGGGTGATTTCTCTTCGAAAAAAAGATAGGATCTTTCATATAAAGAAATTTCATTGGAGCATCCCTTGTTAAGATACAGCCCCTTAAACGGGGTACATGAAATTTGTATAACAATTTTTTGTACTACACTTAGCCACTTTTGCCACTTAGCCACTTTTGTACTACACTTAGCCAGTAATTTATTTAGTTTACCCTATGGTTGTAAGGGGTGGAAAATATAAATAATCTTCCAGAATCGATATGCACATCAACAGGTTTCTGATTCGATGATGAATTTAATTTTTTTATGTTAATTGACACTTGAAGACTGTAGTAATTTACAGAGTGTGTTGAATAGGGTTTTAGGATGTTTCAATAAGAATAAAAGCAAAATAAATATTAAAAAATGCTCAATTATGACCTAGACCTAAAGGCACATATATTACGTGTGTTTTACTATATTTTGTTGGTGCATGTTTAGTTTTAGGGAATGCAGAAACATTATATCAAGAATAACTTTTTGTCGAAAAACCCTTAATAAAGAAGTTTCCCATATGGTGCATACTTTGGGGATGACACTGTATATCGTAATCGAATGCGCTAGAAAATTTCGCCGAAATTCCGTAGCATTATTCTCTCTGCTTCTAGAGTGGCGGGGAATCATTGTACATTCGCGCGCTCTTAGCTACGTCATAAGAAGTATTAGACTGGAGATCAAGTGAAGCTGGTATTATACTTGGTTTATTACTATTATTCCCTCATTTATTTAACCACCCAGTTGAAAAACATGATAGATCAGCATTTCAGAATATGAACATTTGTTGTTGATAAAAAAATTAACATTTGAAAACTACCCGTTTAAATCAAGTCATGAAACCTACTCAGTAATTATCGGCTAAGGCTACATATTCTCATCGATTATAAATGTGGTACAGATGAAAGAAAGAAATTTCAAAACAATACATCGAAGATTATCAGACAAATTAAAATAGTTAATATCCACTTTATTTCCATTTAAAGCAATTCTTCATAAGGGAGAATGCTTTTCATAGTTACATCTAAAGATATTCAGTGACAAATGTATGTTAAGTGTTTGCCAAAGAGAAACGTGATGATTTAATTGCAAAAGAATTTTCGTATAATTATTTTAGATTTGAGTATTTTGTGAATGAATTTAATATTGGCTTGAACCCTATGAATGTTAAACATTTGAAGATTAGTTTCAACAATTAGATAGAGAATAATTGTTGGAAAATTTCATCAGTTCAAAAGCACCATATCTCAAGAACTTCTTTGGTAACCAAAGACATACACTATTCTACAGCTGACCGTATCAATGACCGTCCATTTTCACATCCATAATAACTCCCAAATTATGCATTCTAACGGTTCTTTATTCATATTGTACACGAATTCATATTTCTCTACAGAGCGGTGAAATGTCATTAATTTTGAGGGAT